TTTTCATAGTAACTTTTGAAGGAAAAACTTCTATATTTTTTTAAGTTGTTACTATTTTTCTTTTTCTTCTTAATAAACTATCTATATCTTTGTATCTTCTTTCTTCTTGCTTAGTAACTCTTATACTTGTTCTTAGTAATAATTCTGTGAAAACTTCAACTTTTCTTTAGCTCCAAAAATAGCTAAAATGATCTATAAGAAGAGTTTTTTTTTGGACAATTAGTTACTAAATTATAATTATAGAACTGAATTATATATAGTGTATTATAGAAATTTAATCTTCTTAAAATATAGTAGTTTTTAATAGTTAAGTGATTGTAGATATAGAATGTTTTGTTATATTGTCTAGTTGTTCTACAATAGTTTAATTTTGCTATTATCTTCTGCTTAGCTTGTTGTATTCTAGTATTTTAACTAAGGTAGTATAAACTTCATTATTATACTAATTTTTACATTCTAAAATATTGACAATAGACTAATATTTTAGTTAGTCTTTTGGCTTTCTAATATTTTTGCCAATTCCTATCTTAAATATTCGATTTTGTAGATTTTTATTAGTTAGATTAGTTTGATTTTATAGGTTAGTTTGCAAATAAAGTTATATTAAATTTTATAGTTACTATCAAATTGCTGAGAGTAAATAAGAATTCAGAATCTGAGGTTAAATCAGAATAATAGTCTCACTAACTAATATTTTAAAACCTATCACTAAACTAACTATAATTCTAATAGTAAAAGGCTAAAAGAAGGTATAGAGACTTTTGTTCAGATTTATTAGAGTTAAGGTTAGTTTATATATAATCAGAGAAGAAAGATAATTGTGAATTAATAAATATGATATCAGAGTTATGAGAAGTAATTTATTCTCACACTTGAGATTTTATTTTTTTGAACTCTTCTGAGTTAAGTTATCTTTATTGAAAGTAAAAGGTATCACTTTTATATCTTTTGTAATACTAGTATATATATTAGAATATGTTTAATATATGTTTAATATATCAGATATGACATATATGCTACATGTTCTAGATATGATATATATGCTATAAATTCTATAAATACTACATATATATATCATGAATATCAGCTAATCTAATTAAGGTAAATAATAATCCTTATTAAGCTACAAGATAAAACTATCATATATGTTTGTTAAGATATATTATAAAAAAGCTAAACAAGAATTTAAAACTAAAAATAGGATATCATATTATTTCAAAGTGTAGTATTTCCAGAAGGTGAAAAAGTTTTAATTGGTTCTAGATTAGAACTTATCTGGAGGTCTGGTTACATGGAGGTTCAAGACTAACTAATCTATTCTAATTAACCAAATAATCCAAAAATCTAACTAAAATATAACACTAAATTAGAAAAGCTTGAAAGAGGTAAGGATTAACTTGGTCTGAGTTTAAGGTTACTTGAGTGAGTTGTTGATTATTGAATTGGGTCTTGAGATTATATTAGGTTTATACTAGTCTTCTTTTCAGATGTTATTAAACTTAATCATGTTATCAGGGTATCATGTTTTGATTATGATTTGTTCATGATTTAGGTTACAATTTAGGTATAACAAGGTTTTAATTTTACTATTAGATTGATTTTAACAATTACAATATTGATCAATTATTTAATCAATTCAAAATACAATAAAAGAGGATACAATATGACAATTTGGGTACTTTTACTCTAACTACTAAAAACTGGTTATAGTGAAAAAGAAAATACACAGTTCAATACAACTAAATAACGATTTCAATGAAACAATTTATAAGTTAGTTTAAAATAAATTTATAACAAGGATGATTTTTATAAACAAGAGAAATTTTTAGACTTAGATACTTCTACCTTTATTGTTTTTGAAGTTTAGAGCTTTATTAAGATCAAAGGTGAGCACTTATATACATATTTTTACATATACAATAAATTTCAAAAATTTCCTAAATTTACAAAACTTCATAAATTAACTAAACTACTCAAATTTACAGAAATTCGTAATTTTCTCAAATTTCTTAGTTTTCTGAAAGTTATCTAATTTTCATGATTTGTCAAATTTTCAAAATTTTCAAAATTTCAAAAATTTCGATGATCATTTTTCGAACTGGGCACAGTATCGAAATTGGCAATTTCTCCTTTTACAAGGGTCAAATTAACCCTTTACACTGTAGGCAAGAACAGAATATGTGACATATACATGTGATCGAAACTTTTTGGCCATTTCAGCTACATAGCAAATGATTAAAGCAAAGTTTCGATAATTTGTAAATATAGTAAAAATTAGACTTCATATATGTTAAGCCAGATCTGCAGAAAATTATGCAAGGTCTTTTGGTATTTCGACAAGACCTTTTGGTATTTTAGCAGACTTTGGAATTTTCAGCTGTATATTAAGTAATATTGCTGAAAATTCCAAAGTCTGCTGAAATACCAAAAGGTCTTACTGAAATACCAAAAGACCTTGTATAAGTTTCTGCGGATCTGGCTTAATATATATGAAGCCTAATTTTTATATACCATATTTACAAATTATCAAAAACTTTGCTTTAATCATTTGCCACATAGCTGAAAGGTTTCAGTCACATGTATAGTGTGACAGTAAGGTTGTGAGCATAGTGTCCCAGGGCATGCCTTAGGGGCATGCCTGAGGGAGCATGCCCCTGGGCATACCTTTGGGCCAGAAGGCATGCCCTTATCAATATTTGATTATATGTTTTTAACGTGCTGATTGGCTAGATAATTGCATGACAAAAATTGACTGCCTTATAGATTTTTTTCTTGCTCTGTTCTGGGACATCCCAACTTTGTCTCATAAAAATTTCTAAACTTTAATATATATAATTCAAATATATATAAAATTAGATTTAAATATTTTTTAATAGCCTAAAGCAGATTATCTTGATAAAATCTAAATTTGTCACGACTTCATCTTAGAATTGTCCTAAACATATATTGCCTTTTACTATTAGTTAAAGAATATTCTGTATATCATTTGTGGTACATACATAATATAAAATCAACCAATTTAGCTAAAAATTATTTGTTTAGTCACTAGCCTAGAAAAAAAAAATGATTCGGTATATAGTTGTTAGACAAAACTATTTTTATAAATGACAAAAGACGAAACCTAACTCTTTAAATAACAAAACTCTTGACAAAAGATGAAACCTCAGACAAAATCTAAATCCTGACAAAACCATGAAACTCTGAAGAAACTCAAAACTCTGACAAAACTGTAAAGCCCCTAAACGAAAGTGAAATCTGACAGAGACAAGTCTCTGCAACACAGCCTCTGGTGAAAGACTAAATTAAATGCTGTGCTATAATTTGTAGGCTAATCTATTTATTCTTCTGTAATACCTTAAATTTTATGTATCATTGTCTGTACTGTACTAGATGCTACTTAGTCATTGCAATTAATTAAAGCGTTATATGTTTTTTCTTAGTATCAGATTATCTTTTTAAAAAAAATCTACGTCCTTATATTCATATAATAACTTACTGATTAGTTTATTTAGTTTCTGGCTAATTAAAATTTTGATCCATAAAATTACATGTTTGAGTACTGCAAAGCAAAAAACCAGATTCTTAAATTTCAGAAATTTACTTTACCAAAATGAGCTGATAAGTAAAGTGAAGAATTCTGGTTTTTTGCCTTGCAATACTTATTTTAGTAGTTTGTATGAAATAATACCTCGAGATATTATTAGAGACATGCAATATAAATCATAATTTTATTTTTAAAAAATGTTATATTTTAGCAATTTTGTTATATTTATTAGTTTTATCACCTTTTGTTACTTTTTTTATCTTTTCATAGAAGATTTTTACGAAGGTCATGAATTTTTTCATAGATGATGGATACAATTATTTCATTAATTCTGAAAAAAAGAAGAGTCGATAGCTAACTGAATATAGAAATAAGCATGTATGTATATGTATATGCATATGTACGTCTCAGTTTTTTTATAATTTTAAATAAAGCTACTATTTATTAATGAGGCTCTGTTCAATTTGAGCGTTAGATAGTCTAATATAGTAATAATTTCTAAGAGGAAATATCAAATTGAACAGAGCCTGAGGTGAGATTGATTACTGAAAAGATTTATGATAATTGAATAATCGTCTGTCTTTATAAGTCGATCATGCATTCAAAGCTAACAAGTTTAACTCTTGATAAGTTGATTATGCATTTAAAGCCAACTAGTGAAAAATATAATTACACAACTATGATTGTTTATTGTTAATGGAAGGGTATAAAGCATGGGGTTTACGTATGATAATAATTGGGAGTCATTATGAAAATGCAGAATCTGAATATTCAAAAAATGTATAGATGCTTTTCAACTTAAAGGGCGAATTATTATCCCTAAGCCCTACCTAAATAAGTTGAACATGCATTCAAAGCCAATGGCTCAATACGAAAGATCTTTTTGATGGTGATAATCTTCACAACTTAGCAATTAGAACAATTGGGAATAAGTTATAGTATGAAATATTATACGATAGTGAATAGGAGGAAATTTGGAAGTCATAGAAGTTAAATATTAAAAAAAATATATTTAAACTATGCTTTTTGACTTGAATAAACTTTCGAATTCAACTTCTAAATAAATAATAAATATTTAAATTCATACTTTTTCATTTTCGTGATCTATATTTATTAAATTTAAAATGCCTATAACCTTCGATAAATATATTTTAAAAGTTGACTTATTCTAATCATGCATATTTGTTTACCCCTACATTATTTCTATTATATCTAAATAAATTAAAAATATTACTTATACAGTATTATAAATTATCTTTTCTTCAATATTTAACCATATTTCTTAGGCTCAATTCATATTTTTCCCTAAGATAGTAACATCAATTTTAGCATATTTTAAAAAAATAAAATCAATCAATCAATAAATATATTAATAGTACAATAAAATACTTCTTGATTAGCCTGCAAATTCATCAAATATCTAAAAAAATCAAAAGTAAAAATCATTAATTCTATTATGGAAATCCCTCAAGGTTTTGCTTTACCACTCACTATACAGGATCAGTGTTGATCTGGTTTTTACTGATCTGAACAAAAAAAAGGAGGAAATAGATATCTTGTAAAATGTAAATATTGTTTGAACGAGTTTAGTGGCAAGCCTGAAAGGCTTCAACATTATGTAAATCAGTGTAGTGATTGGCCTACTTCAGAAAAGATGGTTTACTTTCGTAAAATTTCTGAAGAAAGTCCTGCAACTCGTAAGCGTGTTCATGATGAAAATAATAATACTTTTACTTCTAATGAACATGAAAGTACATAACAATCATCTGAATCTCAGCATCAAAGTACCATTCTTGATTAGTATACTCAGCCTTTATTTCAAACACAATCAGAAAAACTCTACTAAAAATTCTTGAAAGCTATTATATATAGAAATATTGCCTTTAACATTGTCGAGAATCTATATTTCCAAGACTATCTCTGTAAATTAAACCCTTCTTACTATCTTCCTTCCTGAGATATGATTCAAGGACATCTCTTAACCAAGATGTTCTCTGACCATCTTCAGGAAAAATTAGATACTCTTCCTTCTCTTATGGACATTACTATTTCTCTAGATGGGTGGACTGATAATTCTGGAAACTCTATTTATAGATTCATGGCTCTAAAGAAGCATCAAGAAACTGTATTGGATATTCTTGATCTGTCTGCACATCGTCACACAAGTGAATTCCTCAAAGGCAAAGTAAAAGAAATCCTATTCATGAATAGTATTCAAATGTCATCTGCTATCGCCATTGTTACTAATAATGCTTTAAATATAGATAAAATGCGATGATTGCTTCATGTAAGTCTGTTAGAAACATAGTATAAACTACAATTTATATTGTAACGGCTTCTACATAATCTTTAAAATAAAATTAGTATATCTATTATATATTAATATTATATTTCTACTAATTAAAATTCTAGGAAGAGCACCCTAATATTATCCTTATTCGTTGTTACCTTCATGTCTTCAATCTAATTGTCAAAGATATTGTTAGCTTTTCTGATACTGTCACTATTTGCAAAAAGAATCAAAAACTAGTTAATTTTTTTAATTCATCGCACATCTGGCATCGTGAATTGCAAAATTGGAAGGAAAATCAAGAAATTAAATACTCTCTGGCAATGCTTTATGAAACAAGATGGTATTCACTTGCTAAAGTTTGCATGGGAGTATTGACCTATGAAAAAAGGTTTCTAGCATTGTCTTTCATTAAGTAAAACTATAGGTTCAAGGTATCCCGTAATCGAGAACAAGGTAATTAAAAACCTCATCGGTAATAGATATCATTTTGCTATGAATGATATACTGATGAAAGTAATAAAACCAATTGTCGATACTATTGGAAGATTGGAGTCAAATGACTCTTCTCTGGCTGATGTTTTTAAAACACTTATTCATATCTATCAACAAATATCTAAGCTTGAAGTTCCTATAAATGGTTTTCAGTCTCATGCTCTTGCTGTTATTAACAAATATGCGAAAGAGTTTAACAGCAATATCTATTTTATTGCACTTTTTCTTTCCCCAATTCACAAGCAACTATCTATATCTAAAAAAATGGATAGAGATAAAATAATTTGAGCTTCACTTGAATTAGCTAAAGCATAGAATTTTAACAGAAGAGATACAGGTCTTTTATTTAAAGAACTGATTAATTACAAGAACAACTATCTTCTATTCGACGTACCTCTTCCTAATTCACCAAAAACTTCGCGATCATACTGGTCAGAATTCACTGGAAATTCACCTTTGTTGTGCCGTTTTGCAATAAAAGTTCTTGCTATTGTCTCTCATAATGCTAGCTGTGAGTGACTTTTTTCATCACTTGGCCTAGTTAAATCAAAGATCCGAAATAAAATAACTCCAGATAATCTTTCAATTCTTGGGCAAATCAGAAATGAACTCCAAAAAAGGATACCTATGAAGGTCAACAAGCATAGCAACGCTGTTTTTGAACCTTTAATAGATGAGAATGAGAACTTGGATATCTTTTTTGATGATGAAAATGAACAATTAGAGGAAGTGAATGAAGAGCTAGAAGAAATTATAGTCGAGCAAGATCAAATACCTTTTATAGTAGAACTTTTTAACTTCACAATGTTTAAGAAAGATCAAGATATTCTTGAAGATTTGCTCCAGGTCAATGTAGAACAAAATAATCTACTGATAGAGGAAGATTGGTCTGTCGATGACATTTTTATTGAAAATCCATAAATTTGTATAAATAAATAGAAATTAAAATGTAAAAAAAAAAAAAAGCAAGAAATAAATATACCTTTGTTTCATGTATCTATTTGATTTCATTTTAAAGAGTTTAAATCCTAGATATTATTTTTGAATAGACAAAATAATAAATTTCGATTAATAAAGAATTAACTACTATTGAATCTGCATCTACTAATTAATATACATATCTTCTATAATTGTGAGTCAAGTTCGATTTTATTGGCTAATCAGCAATAATTTTGATTAGCTAGAATTAAATAATTATGACTTGTCCACGCGATAGTCAAAACTTTAAACCAGGAACGATGATTTTCTGCAGTGATTAAGACTAAATTCTGCATGTGGTTATGACAAATTCTGTGATTTAATATGATATGATTTTTTGCTAATTTGTAATTTCCGTAATTTAATGCAATTATAAATTTTATTCGTCCTATATTTTTTTAAAAAAACATATAATTCCTTAACTCTCTAGCGATTACGCTCATAATTTACATTGATTTATTTTCGACTCCAGCCTGAATTTAAGTTTAAATCCTGCGATATCTTTTGAATTCTGTGATATTTTAGGTATTTATTTAGATTCTGTGACATTCTGCAGTAACTAAGGGTGATTTCTGTGGTTGGCTGCGATTAGAACTTCTGCTATTTTTTGTGAATCATCGTCCCTGCTTTAAACCAAATAAAATATTGACTATTTTGTTCTAAAAGCAAAAAATTTCAATCTTACGACTTTGTACTACTCAGTATTGGCGAAATTGTTTCTAAGTTAAATTGGTAGCAGTAGAATAACCAGATTCGATTAGATGTCAAAATCTATATAAGGCCAGACAAATTTAATTCGGTGGTTTATGTTACATCTCCACTTTGAAAGAGGGGGGGAAGGAAGGTTTTGCAGGAGTTTAAATAGTAAAGTTTTCAAGAATTTCTTCTCTAAAAAAATTTTTTTACAAAATGTTCCGTGTAATATAAAAATTTTCAAAATAGCCCATTTCCTTAGGGAGAAGGGGGAGCTAAGAGAAGCTGAGAGAGTAACCACAGAATTAAATTGGTCTGGCCTAATATGAAAGATGTTTTAGATTTGTTGCATAACCAAAATTCAGCAGATCTAGGTCGGAATGGGTCAGCATTAATATATATAGGGGTATGCCCCAGGCACAATAATAAGGGGCATGCCTCTGACTAAGGCATGCCCTCTAGGGGCATGCCCAAAAATTTATCCGTGCCCACAACACTAACTGTATGGGACATACCTTATTATATATCAAGATCACAAGTCTTTTTCGTGATAAAATATTTAGGACGAGTTAAAAATATTGAGATGATTAGAGAAAGTTATGGAAATATAAGAGCAAAAGTTACCTTTGAAGAAGGAAATAGTTTTGTACAAGGAATTGAAGCTTGAATTATTCCTCTTACAAATGATCTCTTAGTACGTATAACACCAGGACCAAACAGAAAAGAGATATTAGAAAACCAAAAACAGTTTATAGCAAAGCTGTTCAATATCCCACAAAATATAAACGAAGTACTACTATTTAGATAACTAAAACATACTGGCGTAAGTGCAGTACATGTTTTTAAAAATTCAAATAGGAACAACAAAGGTTATATGCTAGTATCTTTCAGAAACCAATGAGATATAGCCTAAGAAAAAAAGTATTCTGTGAAATACTATAATACTAGACTCTTTTGGGAGGTCTCTGAAGTCGAATCAAACGAAGTATACTATACTGAGGAAAGATATAAGCAAAGACTTGATACTTATGAGCCAAATACAAGAAATTATAAGAGACAGGAACTACCTTCTAATAGACTAACAGCTCCTTATAAAAGTGAAAAGAAATTCTTAAAAGAAGAGAACAGGCCAGAAAACAAAAGATATATGAAGTTAGAAAATCAAGATAAAATCTATGCAGAAAAAAGAAAAATGGAGCAGTACAAAGAAACTGAGCATAAAGTCTCTTTCAATGATATAGCATAACGTATTCAAGCTTTAGAAAGAAAATTAAGTAGCTTGAATAATAATTGGAGTCTAGAGACTTCAAATCGCTTCTAAAAGTAGCCAAAGTTGAACGAACAAAAGTTCTAGACAGCTAAGAAGGAAAACTTGAAAGACAGAACAGAGCAGAAACAAGTACAAACCAAAACAAGGAAGAATATAGAGAAAATACAAGCAAAAGAAAGGTAATAGAAAGAGCAGAAGACAATGTGAATAGGAGAAGAAAGCAAGAAAGTATAAAATTAGGTACATACAATATCAATATAATTAAAGGGGATAGTACAAAAGTAGAATTATTAGCAGAATATGGTAAGTCAGAAAGTTATAATATTATTGGAATAGTAAAAGGTCTGGCGATCTTAGTGTAGTGGTTAGGTTGCCAGACTGCTATACAAGAGGTTTGGGGTTCAAATCCCACTGTCGACGAATTTGAATAATTACCTGAACTTTTGTACCCAATTTACGGTAAACTCTGCTCGTTTCTGGAGGTTACAACTCTATAAATTATATTGCACCAATGTCAATCGGACATTGGAAGTGTGATGCAATACTCGAGTTATGTTACGCGAATAAATCTTGATAGGATCTACAGGCAGAGGACCTGCATGGTCGAAATCCTGAGTTTGGTAAAGTAGTACGGATTTCAATGTTCAAGCCGGTTAACACCTGATCCAGTAAAAAACCTGAATACGAAGGATGTGAGATCGATAGATACGAGTAAGTCTGCTATGTAACACAGCCTGGTGCCTTGCATTAGCAGCAACACCAACTTGGTTTGGCAGCTAACTAGATTGGGAGAATCTACCTTGTGAAATATCCAGCTGGAACTTGAAGAACTATATCTGGTAGACGGCCACAGCAGGAACTGGGTTTGTATGAACATCGACAAAGGTCTAATTCAGGTGAATCTGTGAAATAGGCACATGACCACTCTGGTAGGAATTACTTCTGAAGTTAACCAAAGCTCTGCAGCTCACAATACGTTGGGCATACGTATCTCGAGAGGACCTAAGCTGTGTAGAGAAATGGATCCACGGGT